CTCTACCACTGAGCCACACCCCAGCCCCTCACTGGGGGATTCTAGGCAGGGGCTCTACCACTGAGCCACACCCACAGCCCCTTACTGGGGGATTCTAGGCAGGAGCTCTACTGTCAAACCACACCCCCAGCCCCTCACTGGGGGATTCTAGGCAGGGGCTCTACTGTCAAACCACACCCCCAGCCCCTTACTAGTGAATTCTAGGCATGGGCTCTACCACTGAGCCACAGCCCAGCCCCTTACTAGGGAATTCTAGGTAGGCTCTCCACTCCTGAGCCACACCCTCAGTTCTCTTTCTCTTCAGTCACAGAAGTTGATGCTCTGTGGGAGAGATCATTTGCTCTTAGACACAGAAAGCAGCAGAGCTCTCTTTCGTATGCTTGAATGCACACTTATTGAATACCTAGTGTTTGCCAGGCAGGGATGGAGAGGAGACCGATGATGCGTTTCTGTCAGACATTTAGATTGTGTGATTTTCCATCTCTCTTCACTGCTCCTTTCTAATCCACAGCCTCCATGTGATAGGGTGGGGAAAGTTCCAGACCCAGCATGTAAGCACATCTTGATGGCCCCTTCTCCCCAGCTGGGCAAAGGCTGTTCTTCTCTCCCGGGGGTGGGGGGCAGGTCTATCCTGCATCTGCAATGGAGGATGCTTGTACATAGGACAGCACTGCAGGGGTTAACTTCCTCTCTGCAGCCATGGGCTGAGGTGACATCCAACGAGAAGCCTGCTCAGCTGCTTGCTGTGGTCTGGCAGCCAATGAGAGACTCGTGGGCTCAGGCTTTCTTAAGGAGCCAGTGACTGTCCTTGAAAGGGGGGGAGCCCCTAGCAACTGGTTATTTGGGGTAGAGAAATGAGGAAATCCCAGCCTCTAGGAGGAGAAAAGGTAAAGTTAAAGCCAAGAAAGGGGTCAGGGCAGCTTGTGGGTGGTTGATGGAAAAGGAAGAACCTGGTAAGAGGGTGGGGCCTAGCTTTGAAATCACGGCTGAGGGTGGGGCCTGATGGCAGGGAGCTTCTTGGGGGCCCGGGGTCCGGCTGGCAGGCCTGAGGGGCTCTGACAGGTAAGCATGGGTGGAGGGAGGTGAGGCATGGCTTCTTAGAGGACGCACAGGAAGGGGCGGTGCTTGTTGCTGATGAGCCACTAGGGGCCTTGGCAGGAGAGAAGAGATTGTGGGGTTGGGTGCCGGACGTGCCAATCAGGACGCGCTCCACACTCCTTGGTTCCTAGAGGCTGGAAGTAGCCAAAGCAGAGCGTGCCAAGATATACTCATCAAAAGAGACCGAAGTCGGGGAGGGAGTGTCCCGAGGGTGGATGTAGCTGGAGAGATGGCTCCCTGGGGTGAGGCACTGTCTACCTGGTGACCGAGTCCAACCCCTGGGTCACACATGGCGGAAGGAGAGAACAGACTCCTGCAGGTTGTCCTCTGACCTCCCCCGTACACACACACACAAAGCGTAAGTTAGATGAGATCAGGCCTGTTAATGACGGTATTGTTGCGGACTAAATGTAACTTAGAGAGAGGTAGAGGAGGCAGCCAGCCTGGCGGTGGGTGGGAGCCCACCAGCGCTCCTGGAAACAGTGGACTGGGTGTCACAACGTTTTCTTTAGACAACTCAGGTTTTAGCTGCGGTAACTCATCCATCCCTCGTGTTATCTCTAGGCTGTGGGGATTCTCACTGTTCCCGTTAGAGGGCAATGCGCAGCGAAGTTAAGAGACTTCTTGGTCCCAGAGCTAGTGAGGGCGGAGAAGATCCTATCCCACACAGCTGTGGCCCCCAGGTGTTTGGCTGAAGGACTTTGCTGTACTTTGTACCTTGTTTGAGGAGAAGGGTCTATAGTAAAAAAAAAAAAAAAAAAAAAAAGGAAACTGCTTTGCTGCATTTTAGTCAATAGTATGGGCCAGAGGTTCGGTTTCTAGAATTCTGGTGATGAGCTTGCATGGAAGAGCTGGTTGCCTCTGAGGAGCTGCCCCACGGGGCCTGGAATGGAGATGGCTTGTTAGCCAGAGCGCAATTAGCAGCGCGATGAGTGGGGAAGTAGAGATTTACCCAAAGTTGGGGGATGTCCTGCAGCATGCTCCCTTCCCCAAAGGCAAGGATGTGTATCCAAGGGGAATCCGGGCTGGGATGTGGCGCAGCTGGTAGAGCACTTGTGGGAAGGCCTGGGTTCGATCCCTGCCGCCCCAGAAACAAAACCAGGCAAACCAATAGGACATGGCGGCGCCAGTCTGTAAGCCTGCAATTCCAGCATCCAGGAGGAGGAGGCGGGATGAGAACCAGGGACTGGCCATCCACCGTGGTTGACATCAGCGTCCGTCTCAACGACGGACGGGCATGTCGGTTAGGGGGAGTGGCCAACGCGCTGGGCGTAAACGGCAGGTACGTGCAGGTGAGGGAGCTTGAGTGAGTATTGTCCGAGGTGTGAGCAGGGGATGTTTAAAAGGCAGGTGGGTCTGAAGGCGGGGCAAGCTAGAGGGGCGTGGCTACGAGTGGCGCTAACCCCGTCCGGTCGCACCCCCTCCCCGACAGGATGATCCCTTCCACCAGCCAGACCTTCCTGGTGAACGACCTGGCCGCCGGCCGCGCCTACGACTTGTGCGTCCTGGCGGTGTACGACGACGGGGCCACCGCGCTGCCGGCCACCAGGGTGGTGGGCTGCGTGCAGTTCACCACGGCGGGGGACCCCGCGCCGTGCCGCCCGCTGAGGGCCCACTTCCTGGGCGGCACCATGATCATCGCCATCGGGGGCGTCATCGTCGCCTCGGTCCTGGTTTTCATCGTCCTGCTCATGATTCGCTACAAGGTGTACGGCGACGGGGACAGCCGCCGCCTCAAGGGCGCCTCCAGGTCGCCCCCTCGGGTCAGCCACGTGTGCTCGCAGACCAACGGCGCCGGCACGCAGCAGGCCTCCGCCCCGCCGGCCCCGGACCGCTACGAGGCGCTGCGGGAGGTGGCCGTCCCCGCAGCCGTCGAGGCGAAGGCCGCAGGGGCCGAGGCGACGTCGGCCGAGCTGGAGGTGGTGCTTGGACGCTCTCTTGGGGGCTCGGCCACCTCGCTGTGCTTGCTGCCCTCGGAGGAGACTTCTGGGGAGGAGTCCAGGGCCGCGACGGGCCCTCGGCGGAGCCGTTCGGGGGCCTTGGGGCCTCCGACCTCAGCGCCCCCGACGTTAGCTCTGGTTCCCGGGGCAGCCCCGGCTCGGCCGAGGCCGCAGCAACGCTATTCCTTTGACGGGGACTACGGGGCGCTGTTCCAGAGTCACAGTTACCCGCGCCGCGCCCGGCGGACAAAGCGCCACCGGTCCACGCCGCACCTGGACGGGGCCGGAGCGGGCGCGGCCGGGGAGGACGGAGACCTGGGGCTGGGCTCCGCCCGGGCACGCCTGGCCTTCACCAGCACCGAGTGGATGCTGGAGAGTACCGTGTGAGCGGCGGGCGCGCGCGGGCACCGGGACGCCCGTGGGCCGCGCTCGGCCGCCCGGTCCGGCCGGATACGGGGAGGCTGGAGAGAAGGGATGCGCGAGGGGCGGGGCCGGCTGCCGCCGAGGCCCCGCCCACCGGCGCCTCCGACTCCGCCCTCCGCCCCGCCCCCCGCGCGCTCGCGGACCTCGCCGGAGCCGGTGCCTTACACAGCGAAGCGCGGGGAGGGGCGGGGCCCCCCCACACTGCAGCACTGAGACACGAGTCCCCTACCCTACCCGGGACCCTGGGGCAGGGGCGAGGGGCCCATTCCTTGTATCTGGCTGGACTAGATCTCATTCTGCCCCGCGGCGGCCTCCAAAGCCTCCCGTCCCCTCACCGGTCCCCCTCCCTGGTCCCACCCGTCTGGTTTGGAGGGAGGGGCCCCTCCTTTCTTCTCTCTGCGTCCTTGTCGTTCCCTCCCTCTGTCGTCTGTCTTGAGTCTTTCCTTACTCGTCGTCTCTTCTCCCTCTGCCTATCCTTGTTCTTGTTTTTGTTTTTTTGTTTTTTTTGTTTACTTCTTTGTCCAGTGTCTGTGTCTCCCGATTCCCTGTCCTCACCATCTCCCGGGCAGGTCCCACTGAAGGACCAGACTCTTCCCTCTGCCTTTCTCGTCCCCACAATGAATCCCCACACAAACGAAAACCAAATCCCTCTATCGGAGCCGGGACCCTCCGCCGCAGCAGAATTAAACTTTTTTCTGTGTCTGAGGCGGCTCTGTTGACCAGTGTGCGTGCTTGTGCGCGCACGCGCGCGCGCGCGCGTGTGTGTGTGTGTGTGTGTGTGTGTGTGTGCGCGCGCGCGCGCGCGCGCAGGCGCTTGTGGGGAGGAGGACTCCAAATCAGACTGAAGAGAGCACGGCAGGGAGCTCAGGTGGGAAGTAACAAAAAATGATAAAGACAGGCGACCAGTGTGTTCATAACCTTTAAATCATCCAGTCTCCACTGTCACCCTAGGACGTTGTACTGTTGGTCCAGCCGACAGGTGTGGATACTGGAGCCAGGTGGGCTAGATCCCATGTCTTGGCATAACCAGAAGGCAGAAAATTGAGATTAATATAATTAATATTAATTCCAGCTAAGCGTAGTGGACCTCACCTTTAATCCCAGAACTCAGGGGGCAAAGGCTTGCAGATCTCTGATCCTAAGGTCAGCCTGGTCTCATAATGAGTTTCAAACCAACTAGGGCTACATAGTAAGACTCTCAACAACAAAAAAGTAATTCCACATATAGTATTTGTGTCCATCCTCCTTGCCTCTGCCTCCTGAGTACAGAGATTATATGTATGTACCATCACAACCAGCAACTTTTTTTTTTTGAGACAGGATCTTGATATATAAATAGCCCAGCCTGGCCTTGAACTTTCTATTATTCTGCCTTAGCGTCTGGGTTTCCAGGCTTGTGCGTATGTGTCCTGGAAAAACAATTAACAAAGCAGGTAGCAGTTGTGCGTGGTGGAGCATATGCCTGTAATCCTGGTCCCTGGGAGGTGGAGACAGGACAATCGGAGGGTCAAGCCTGTGCTGGCAAGTTGCCCCAGTAAAGACACTTGCCATCAAGCCTGACAATCTAAGCTGATCCTTGGGACCCAGGTGTCATAGCACATGTGAAACCCCCACTAAATAAATAAATAAAAATACAATTAAAAATATTTTTTAAAAAAGTTCCAAACCAGGCGCTGGAGAGAAGGCTCAGTGGTTACGAGCACTTGCTGACCTGATAGAGGGGGCAGGTTTGATACCCAGCACCCACAACTGTCCATAACTCCAGTTCCAGGGGATCCTGTGTCCTCCTCTGTGGGCGTGATGCACAGACACACAGAATAAATCATTTTTTTTAAATTAAAAGTTCAAGACTATCCTACACGCTGAGTCTGAGACCAGCTTGGGCTACAAGAGAACCTGTTTTTGGTTGGTTGGTTTTTGCCAAAAAAAAAAAAAAAAAAAAAAAAAAAGGCAGTGGATTTGGGCGAGATGGCACAACAGCACTCGTAGCTGCTCAGGAGGCTGCAGCAGGATGATTGTTTGGGCCCAGGGGTTTGAGGCCAGCCTTGACAACACAGCTAGACAACTGTCCCAAACCTGCAAACATCAGAAGTAGTAAAAGGCAGGTGGGCCAACTTCTGCCCCATCCTCATCTTTAAGCCCTTTCAGCGGGCAGCTTCTGCCCCTGCCTGGCTGCCCACATGGTGCAGGATGGACATTCACAGTCCTAGTTTATAGACAGAGGTCAGAACCAGAGGGAGGGGAAGTCCCTTGTCAGAAGGCTCCTCCCTGGCCTGCTGCCCATGAAGAAAAGAGTGGAGCTGGCAGTTTGCCTGTGGACTGTCTGGAAGCTGGGGAATGGCTCCAGTGACCCTACTGAACTTAGGTCTCCAAAGTCAGCCGTTAAGGAAACAGGGAGGTAGAACTTTGTGTGAGTGTGGGAGATGGTAAATGGAGCAGGGTCTGCTCGTGGAATGGGTTGGGGGGTGATGGAGGAGGGGTTCTCCAAGGACTGAAGACTTGACTGGGGAGGCGAAGGTGGTTTACGGTAGGGGTTCTGGGCATCTCAGTCCTCGCAGATACCCTGCCTCGAAAACTCCTTCCCAAACCTGGGGGAAAAAGAGGAAGAAGGCTTCAAGCCAGCCCAGGGCCCCCTGAGGCCTGGGGAGGAGGAGAGCAAGACAGAAATAGAAATGCAGCCAGAGGGAGGAAGCCTGTCTGGGCAGAGAGGGTGGGAGGCGGCAAGGACTGCAGCTCTGGCGAATTTCAGGCCAGGTGGATCCCTTACCCACTGGCCCGGTACACATGCCGTTCACACTGACACGGGCGGGCAGGGTGCTCCCACCAGCTCGACACTCACAAAAGGTCATTTCGGATGGAGCAGGGTCACCATCCGTAGCTCTGGTCTCTGCCGCTCGCAGAGCGCTCTGCTGAGCCCGTGCCACGTGCCTGGCTCTAGCAATGAAGACAGTAGACAGACCGCTAGTCTTGGTGGCACATGCTCGCCCTCCGGCGCTTGGGAGGCACCTGAGGCTACAGGGAGGCCCTGCCTCGGAAATTAAAGGCCATTTAGAAAAGAAGAGAGGTCCTGGTGGAGCGAGTCTATGATCCCAGCACTCAGGAGTCTCAGGCAGGAGGATGGGAAGTCTGTCATCGTTTACTACACGGTAAGTTTGAGGCCAGCCTGGACTAACTCTTCTTCTCCCCCAATATACCAACACAAACAAACAAAAAGAAGACTTTTTCATTTGTTCTCTTCCTTTCTGCTTAATTCATTTGTACGAGGATGCGAGATCTTGAGTTGCTTTGCCCATTCTGTGACCATGAGGCACTCATATTAGGACTTAAAGCTACTGTTCTGAGGATGGTAGCAGAAAACAGGTCGGTGACAAATAGAGTCTGATGACATAGTGAATGTATGTTTTTAAAGTTTTGTGTGTTGGGGTGTTTTGCCTGCAGGCCTGTGTGTACCATGTGCACGCTTTGTGCCAGAGGAGGCCAGAAAAGGCACTGGAGATGCAGATGGTTGCGTGAGCCGCCGTGTGTGCGTGCTGGGAACTGAACCTGGGTCCTCTGGAAGAGCAGCCAGGGCTCTTAAATATCGAGCTATCGCTCTACCTCCGTAACAGACTGTTTTAAATATTTAACGTATATTAGCTGGCTTCTCTCGTCTCCTCCTCTGTACCCAGCACCTCACCATGTAACCCTGTCTGACCTAGAATTCCCCGTGTAGACCAGATTGGCCTTGAACGCACTCAGAAATCTATCTCCCTCTGCCTCCAAAGTGCTGGGATTAAACGGTCCACTGCCACGCCAGGCTTTCTTTTCTTTTCTTTTTTAAGGTTTTCAGACAAGATCTTATGTAGCCAAGTATGGCCTTAAATTCATCATTCTTTTGCCTCTGCCTTCAAAGTGTTGGGATTATAGGCATGAGCCACTGTGCTTGGCTTTTCTTTATTAAGCTACATTCATTCATTCATTCAGTGTGTATGTGGTTCAAGTGGAAGTTAAAGGACAGTTTGCATTGTTCATTCTTTCCTTTCTACCATGTGGGTCCCTGGGATTGACCTCAGCTCATCAAATGTCTCTACCCGCTGAACCATCTCAACAGCTCTCTTTCTCTCTCTCTTCATCGGTCTTTTTTGTTTCGATTTGTTGTTTTTTTTTTGTTTGTTTTTTGAGACAGGGTTTCTCTGTGTAGCCTTGGCTGCTCTGGACTCTCTCTGTAGACCAGGCGGGCCTTGAACTCACAGAGATCCACCTGGCACTGCCACCCGAGTGCTGGGATTGAAGGTGTGTGCCACCGTGTTCAGATGGGAAGGCAGTAGGAACTCTGTGCAGTCCCGACTGGTCTTGATCTCCTGACCCTCCTCCCTCATCTTCCCAGGTGCTGAGATCACCATCCTGCGGCTCTGCCTCTGGATCCCAGAGCGCATGCTTCTGAGTAATGGGGCACAAACCGCAGGTACCCGGTGCATTAACTCTTCATCGCACCTGTATCTCCAGAATGATGCCTTTCTTGTTAGACACACACCAGTCCTGGATGCTCCTCAGCTACTGGATCCGGGAGCCCTTGGGTCTACCAACACTCGGAGATGCTGGAATCCCTCATATGAATAGGTTCAGAATGCTCATGGGGCCACACACACCTTCCCTTTAAATCCTCTCAGACGACAGTCGGCTACATGGGGTGTAACTTCGATGCTGTTCAGGTTAGGGGATAGTGACAGGAGAACCCTGGACATGATTAGCACAGATACCGCGTGGATCTGCAGTTTCTGAACAAGTTCCAGTACAGGTTGTCTGCATGCATGAGCGCAAAGCCCTTGGATACAGGGGGCTAAAATTACATTCAGGTCTTGGTTTTGTTTTGTTTTGAGACAGGGTTTCTCTGTGTAGCCTTTGCTGTCCTGGACTCACTCTGTGGACCAGGCCGGCCTTGAACTCAGAGATCTGCCTGCCTCTGCCTCCTGAGTGCTGGAATTAAAGGCCTGGGCCACCACCACTCAGCTTGATTTTTTTATATATGTACTTATTATTTGGTTCTTTTGAGACAGGGTTTCTCTGTGTAGCCCTGGCTGGTCTGGAACTCCCTATGTAGACCGGGCTGGCCTCGAACTCATAGGAATCTGCCTGCCTCTGCTTCCTGAGTGCTGGGATTAAAGGAGTGTGCCACTATGCCTAGCTTTTTTTTTTAAGTGTGTGTGTGTGTGTTGTACATGAATACAGGTGCCCACAGGGGCCAGAGATACTGGAGCCTCTTCAAGAACAGAAGGCATGGTGGGCTGGACAGATGGCTCAGAGGTTAAGAGGTTAAGACCCCTTCCAAAGGTCCTGGGTTCAATTGCCAGCAACCGCATGATGGCTCACAACCATCTACAGTGAGATCTGGTGCCCTCTTCCGGCCTGCAGGCGGGGGAATAGTATATACATAATAAACAAACAGGGACTGTGAATGGTTGTGAGCCACCGTGTGGGCGCTGGGATCCCAGCTCAGGGCCTCTGCAAGAGCGGCCAGTGCCCTTAACCGCTGCGCCATCCCGCCAGCCCCTGGTCTGGCGTTTTGATGTGTCTGTACTTGCTCGAGTGTGTGTACATGCGCCCGTATGGGCAGGCCTGAAGAAGTGCATGCTGGACCTCCTCTCAATCTCTCTCCACCTAACTTTTTGAAGCAAGGTCTATAACTACATCTGAAGCTCTCCATTTGCTAGACTGGGTCAGCGAGCCCCA